ATGAGTCCATGAGTCCATGAGTCAATGAGTCATGAGTCAAATAGGAAAATTAATAATATTTTATATTCTAGTTGTTGGAATATCACCAAACGATCTGGGATAGAATATTGCTACCGTTTGTATAGAAGGATTCAGTAGCCACCAACTATAAATTCCATCTATAGCAGGGCTAAAATGCGCGGATAGACTGAAGCGAATAAACAAATCGGCGAGTATTCGTGCAGCTTTGCAGTGAGATGTTCTAATAAAAACAGATCTTATCTCAAAATCTATTGAGTTTGGTAAGTCTCTTAGTAGTAGAGATATCGTAGAACAATTTTCGGCGCATGAAAAATCAATTATCGGTTCAAATTTCAATAACATTAGAGTCGAGTTGGAGTACAAGTCCAGTGAATGGTTCGAAAATTCGAAAGTTCGAAAAGTCTAAGTTGTTTGGTGTTTTGAAACAATTCAATAGTAAGAAATGGATTTCAGTTCTAGGGTAAGAAGTTTAACAAGGCTCAGTCTAACAAWACATGCAGCAAACCAGCAGAGAATTTAATATTATAATTTTTCGCTGGATTACTTTCACCTAATGTTTTGGGTTAACTGTGTTAGTGTTCAGATGGTTGGCTATATGTTACATGAAATCAAAGGGACAAAAGCAGTCCATGGCCGCTATAWCTTTAATACCGGTAGCATTTTTGATAATTTTCACGAGAGATGTTATGATTTATTTTATTCGACTCATGACTCACAGACTCACGACTCACAACTCATTGACTCACCGGACTCATAAAACAGACGACCTCCGTAGTTTCCTTTTAGATTGGAATACGAAGCATGGAATTTGAGTTAGGAATGTGATTTTTCGTATTTTAGCCAGRAAACATGAAAGCACAAAAAATTCCGTTTAGTCTAAGATCGCACATTTCAGATCTCCGACCGATAACGTTGCAGTTTGGTTTTTTATCCTAGACCTATTTAAGATATCCATTTTTTTCTTTTCGGGATKTTCCGGCAGTAATGATATAAATAGATTATTATCTATGAAGGTATATGTTGGAGTAGTTGGAGTGGATACGCGGATGCGCAGTGAAGAAGACGATGCATTGACTTTTGATAACGGCGTAATTCCTATAGGGTTTGATTGTGATTTTAACGTGAGATCACGTATCGTACGAATGGATAATTAGATKCACGGATGGTACGATCCGTACGCTCGTACGWATGGTGAGGGAATCCAGGTATGGGAGCATTGGAACTACCACAGGTTGACCATAAACCATTTTACACAGCTGACGGTGACAAAAGCACTACACACAGGGTTACCGTGAAAGGTTAAGTGCACACACCTAATGATATGAATGTTTTATGCATACAAATGACTTTCACGAATCGTACGGATCGTGAGCCACACTRACGATCCGTATCAGTTCGACAGTACTGGACATGACTGCCCCCTCCTAGGTTGAAGTGAAGATTTTTAAGGAAAAGATACTTGAAGGCGTCCTCTCCTTTCTTCTCAAACGTAAAGCCATTGCCCGCCCCTCACTTGATGTAAGTAAAACTGACAAATCCCATACCCCTGATTAAGACAACGTGTTTTTTTCAAATAGGTGTTTTTAATTACTCTTTATTAGTATTATGATTCCAAGCAAACATTTTGAGTTGTTTTTCCATTTTTACGGTATTGATATCAAAACCCCAGTTTGAAATAGTAGTCGGTCTAGCATGGTACAAGCTACATCCTCAATATAACTACATTCATGATTTGAAAATAATAGACATTCATTGTATTATAGGTGGGATGCATTTGCGATGACCACATCCATCATTACAGCATTTCAGTACTAATCTATTCATATTCTTTTGTTCAATGAAATAGTTCAACTTTCTGTAGCAATCCTGGTCTACTTTACATGTTTTATAAAGACTTGGTGATGCTTGACATTCTTTAGGTGGAGAGATGATTGGGCAGGTACCATTGCGTGGAAATGGTAGAGTGGGCGGCACCTTTACAAGAGATGGGGCTATCATCCACACCCAGTTGCCACACTTTGTGATGCAACACATTACCGATTCAATCGATCCAGGATGCATTGAAAAGTAAAGGTGCTCGAGGCATCTGTCTTCAAAGTATGTACTGCATTCTCCTGGTCTTGAAGGAGAAGGTATGGGGCAAAACGATGGTGCTTCAASAAACTCACGCTTGATGACAGGAGGAATGCACCTAAAATCACTACAGCATTTCAGGCCTTGTCCAGGGAATTTCGCATCACAACTGGCATCSTCTTGGCATTCTTGGTCTGGTCCCGAAGGATTCKGCCACGAGGGAGGGCTGGTGGGGCACTCTGCAACTAGTTTGTTGAGAAGCTTCATTTGGTTTAATACTYTTAACGGGATTACTTCTACRCCCGAARCAAYACGTACAGGAGTCACACAACCTCTATTTCCGCCAATACAATCCATACAGCATTTCAATCCCTTACCGGGAAAATGTGCTTCGCAATCCTTATCCTCCTTGCAAGAATAATCCGTTTTTTCTGGACATTTGCCACGAGGACGTGCTAATGGACACCTTAATACTTCAAATTGAATGGAAGAACACTGGATGAGTTCCAGATCCATATGCGCCAGTATAAAGACCAACCAAACGATTGCATACTTCAGGTTAGGCATCTTTCCTTGATACTAAATAAAAACAAGAACAAACTGGAATTATTGAAAAGATTCCYTTCAACGTGATGCGATGAGATTGAAAAACAATGAWGGTGGTGCTCAGTGGTGGCGATAATGTTGGTGAWAATTACGATACAACTAACAACGACTTAACAAATAAACATCATGTTCTTATGTGTTTGTCCTCTTATTGACGATCAATTGCGTCATCACATTGTCAACCAGGGTTTTGAAGTTGTGACGTATGTCCGGGTCCAATCACACAAAAGATCGCTAAAACCTTTCTGACATCTTATTTCCAGGACTTGTTCTCTACCTTCAACAATCAGATATATGGACAAAAAATCCTGCTATAAAGAATTAACACGGAAAAAAGGTTTGTAGAAGAAATTATAGGGGACTCACTCGAGACGGAAGAAATTCGAAATACAGTCAATTCAAAAAACGTTGTCGTCGACCGGCTCAAGCCTACGCGACTGGACCGAAAGTAATATGGGTAAAAATCACTGAAGCGGTTAAATATTCGTTCTGAATAAATTGTTCCCGCTGGTAATAAGATAATAATGGCTAGAAACAATCCATCAAATGCATGTCTTCGGGTTTTGGGGAAAGAAAAACAAAGAGTAGTTATGATTAAGTTCACAATTCCTAAAATATGTAGGCATCAAAAAAACGTCTCCTTCAACACTTCCCGCTCGCCTACGAAGGTTCGTGCTGTAAACCAGGCATAACTAGTCAGATAAAATTATGGAGTCAACTCGGCTTCAATGATTACTACCCAGAGTTCCTTTCGGTCCAGTCGCGTAGGCTTGAGTTGGTCGACGACAACATTTTTTGAATTGACTGTATGCAGATTCTTTTCYGTGGTTTGGAGCGGAAGCGCAAATTCTCCTCTCCCCGGTAGACAGCGTAATCGATGCGTTGATATAAGCGAAGCGCTGATTAGCTGATTCAAACTAGGCCGCATGTTTCGAATTCCTTCCGTCTCGAGTGAGTCCTCTATCCTTTTACCGTGGCGAAAAAGGTCGAAAATACTGCCTTTTCTGATAGAAAGAATTTGTCTATGAGCGTGAAACTCTGCCGAGGTATAGCTTAGGATCTCTTCGATCGTGCCGTGGTATTTTTTTATGAGATTTTTCTTGAATTTGAATTCTGATGGGCTAGATCGAGCGGTGGTCAAGTTTTGTTGCCTGCCTTCCCCTTTCTTCTCTTCTCTCACACACACAAACATAGCTCACGCCAGTATTTTACTGTACTGAAGGTAAATTTGATTAACTTATTAAAGGAGAGTAATCGCTAACAAAGTGACGCCGGCGCTGCTTGGCACGGATAGTGCAGCGGTAAATACTCAGAGTGTACGTACGGCTGATTCAAACCAGAAAGTGCGTTGGTGGACGTGGTAAATATATTCATATCGTACGGCTGATTCAAACCAGAAAGACAGTTGGATAGAAAGATAAGTGAACACTATTTAGTATCCATTTAGAAACAAACATATATCAATCCAATTAGAAATCTACGAATAACTGAAACGTGAACAATCACACATATTTAAACCCAATCCGTCTGTCCTGGCGCCCTTGGTTTGGAACCGTAAGTCGTTGTTCTTTCGAATTACGTCACACTTAACAGCTCGTATAAATTGATTTGTTTTTCTGCATTAGAAACGTTGACCTATTTTTTTGTCCCCCAGAACAATTCCTATAAGATATTAATGCAAGGGGTCTATAAAAGGTGTAAGAGTCATTGGTAGACTGATAACATTGAAAATGCGCTTTGGTGGTCATTAACAAGAAGCATCCGAATAGAATATAGTGCACGAAATACCACCTTAGTTCGAATAATCAATGATATTAAATACTATGCGTATTGTATAAGAATGAAGCTGTAATGTTACAGTATTTAGCTACTTTCATTAATCGCTAATAATTAATCGTGTCCTGACCTGGTGAGATCAGCCCAGAGGTTGTTTCAGGG